TGCGGGGCTCGATCCCAGGACCCTGAGATCATGACCCGAGCCGAAGGCAGCGGCTTAACCCACTGAGCCACCCAGGCGCCCCGACGATTTTTTTTTTTAAGATTTTGTTTATTCATTTGACAGAGATCACAAGTAGGCAGAGAGGCAGACAGAGAGAGAGGAAGGGAAGCAGGCTCCTAGCCAAGCAGAGAGCCCGATACGGTGGTCAATCCCAGTACTCTGAGATCATGACCCAAGCCGAAGGCAGAGGCCCTAACCCACTGAGCCACCCAGGCACCCCCATTGATGATTTTATCCACTGCCTATGTTGGTGCGTGGTGACATATTGCAAGTAGTTCTTATCACTTTTTTGGAAAAATCATGACTTTTCAGCTTCTTATTCTCTGCTTCTTGGGAGTGTTTAGCCACTTTGCACAGATTATGGGGCTGAGGACAGAGTGGGTCATTGGTGTGGGAACCTATGGTGATTGTCTGTGGTGTAGCATGGTGGTGGCTACATTCCCATAGGTTAAAAAACAAAAACAAAAAACAAAAACAAAGAAAGCAGTCTATCTCACAAAGGACATGAGTAAATAAAACTTTAAGTTGTTCCTTAGGCAGGAGAGCCATTCCTAACATCTTTTAATTTCAGTTTAGGAGTGATGGGAAAGCCCTTTGTATTATGGTCAATGTTGGCTTATTTGTAGGTAACCCACTTCTACATGAGTTGTTTTGACTTGGTTTTTAATCTCTTAGGTTAGTCAAAGTTTTTGTTGTTGTTGTTGTTTTTGTTTTTGATTTACAGGCTATGATACAAGACTAGTTTGCACTTGAAAGTGACGGAAGCACGATTTATTCAATGGTGATACTGGTGCAAAAAAGTCTAGGTCAAATTTCTGATCACAACATTACTAAGAGATCGAAATGGCTTTGGAAAACACATTTCTGAGTTTTCTTTCTTTCTTTTTTTTAAGGGTATTTATTCATTTGAAAGAGAGTGAAGGAAGAGAGAGAGCATGAGTGGGGGGAGGGACAGGGGGAGAGGGAGAAGCAGACTACCCTACTGAGCAGGGAGCCCAATGAGGGGCTCGATACCAGGACCCTGAGATCTTGACCTGAGCCAGAGGCAGACACTTAGGTGACTGAGCCACCCAGGCACCCCCATTTCTGAGTTTTCATTTGCACAGAGAATGACCTGACATCCCAAGAAGTCACTAACCATGACTGACATCTAAAAGAAGGGGTTCCTCTGCATTATGCTATAGAGTTATTGTAAACATTAAATGAAATAAAACGTCTTTCCTAGATCTGGGAGCAAGGTAAAGAGGAGCTCTCTTTCCTGCCCCTGTCCTACTCCATTTATTTTATCCTTTTCAATTTATTTCAGTACAAATGTACTGAGCGTCTGTTCTGTGCTAGGCATTGTGTTAGTACTGGGAATAAAAAAAAAAAAAGACTGATTTGGCTTACCATATTTTTAACAGCTTTATTAGGATACAGTTCACATACAATTTACCCATTTAATGTATACAATTCAGTGGTTTTTAGTATATGCTCAGGCTTCACAGTATTTAGTTTATTTTAAGAGTCATAACATGTTTTACTAAATAATTCCTTAGGCCCAGAGGGGAAGAGAACCGCGTTGGTTCCATCCTTAGATCTGCTCCTTCCATCAGAATAATGGTACCTACCACTTATTAAATACCACTTCTTAGAGCTCAGTCTTGTGCCTAGTTGCTTTACAAATGTTATCTCATAATATGTTCCTGAAAACAAGTCTTATTTAACCTTCTACAACGACAAAAATACTAATTACCTAGCGTTTGTCATTTATAGTTATCTTGAAACCGGTACTTTGTCTAGGCTCCATTTTTCTTTTCTTCCTCTTTCCCACCAGGTATTACTATAACTTTTGCCTCCTATTTCTTCCCTTAGTTCTTGAAGTTTGCTGGACGTCTTTGTGAAGGGGGAGAGAGATATAGGAGCAGTTAAGATGTTCATGTTTCTGATGAGAATCACAAAGGCCACATGCTTTATTTCATACCATTTTTTTTTTAATTGGGCAAGAGAATACCCATGCCTAGACAGATGAGGTGAATGTAAGATTACTGATGGGCTGTAGCTAAAGAACAGTTGCTTCCAACCCTCAGTTCTGATTTAGAGAGACGTAACAACATTTTCTTTCTATAAACTTTTAGGTGTTTGTTATTTTCAATCTCAGTTTTGCATTTTTTCCTCGCAGATGGATCTAACCTTCTTACCAGTTAGCTTACCTTCTCTGTATTGTGAATTCTTGTGCAAATGTTTCGTAGCAGATGTGTCCTTTTAAAAGCAATCAAAGAAACAAACATAAAAACATGAAAATAAGCCATTTTCAAATGTATGTGACTATGTACTAAAGTGTAAGTGATAAAGATAAGGAACAGAAAGAATTTTTGGAACTTTGAAAGATGTATGGCTAGGAAAAAAATGATTCCCTTCAAGCCCCAGCACACAAAAATGTTCAGGTTGGCTAACTTTCTGACACTGATTTAGATATTTTATATATTTGCTGTTGAATAGTTAACATTGGATATTGAAGCTAATTTCCCTATTGTTTCTAAATTCAAAGATAATGTTATTATAATGTATATATTTTTTAAGCTGTGGGAAGAGCATTTAACAAAAGTGCCAATTAAAAGAAAAACTTCACCAATCTTAATAATTAATAATTGAAGTTGAACTACTCTAAATGAAGGGTGTGAATGAATAAGAAGTCGAAGTGTCCATTTTAAAATTAAGGGTTTGAAACTCTTAGGTTGGTTTTTAATTAAGAAAAACCAGTTTTAATCATCAAATTCAAGGGAGTTCTTTTGATAATTGCTTCTTTAATGTTTAGTATTTTTAAAGCAGAAATGGTTAGATGCAAACAATGAATCATGGAACACTACATCAAGAACTAATGATGTACTGTATGCTGAATAACGTAACAGGAAAAAAAAATAAAGCAGAGATGGTTATATTTTGTCCTCATAGTGTTGTTATTCTGAGTTTAGGATTTTTCTCCAACGGTATGCAAAGAAACAAATGTTCTAACGGTTTTATTTTATTTTGTTTTTCTAGGAGTCAGAGAATAATAAGTTATGTTCCCTGTATTCCTTCCGAAATACCTCTACCTCACCACATAAGCCTGACGAAGGGAGTCGGGACCGCGAGATAATGACCAGTGTTACTTTTGGAACCCCAGAACGCCGCAAAGGGAGCCTTGCCGATGTGGTGGACACACTGAAACAGAAGAAGCTTGAGGAAATGACTCGGACAGAACAAGAGGGTATGTGTGGACTTAACTGTTGGGCTTTATTCTTTCAAAGATTCCAGGCCTTAAAAAAAAAAAAAAACTGAGTGGGATTTCAAGGGCCAAAGCAGTGCATAATTGGCACTAGCTAGGAAAAAGTTATTCACAGGTTACCATGGTGATGGCAGATTTGATCCGTTGAAAGTATTAAGCAGATAGTTCCATTTTTCTAAAACTTTATGCATTTTATTTTGTTCTTATGATAATAAATCAAGGTTTTAAAGGGACTGCAAGCTTTACCATGAAAAAAGGTGTAGTATGGGAACTTTTGCAGCTGCAACTTTATTTTTCATTCTTTTTCTCCCTTATTTCCTTTTGATGGACAGTGTTTTATTATGAAAAGATGAACTGTTTAAAAAGAAAAGAAAAGCAAACAGAAAATAAAAACAAAACTAATTTATTCCTCATTTTTTATAAATATTACAAATTTATAAATAATATCCTTTCACCTCCAAATTGTTGTAGAATTGAGAGTTGTTTCTAATTTGTCAAAGCTAAATGCTCAAGAGGAAAGTGCTGTGACATATGACATCTATTAGATCATCCCACAGCTACCTTCTCTACTCTTTCAAGAGATATACTTAGCTTCACTAGGTTCACCTAGGTCCTAAAAAACATGAAAAAAAACTCTAATAATATTTTTAAATCAAATAAATCAAGTCTAAGTGGTTGCTGTACTATGTATGTTCTTTCGTTCTTTATGTGCAGATTTTAGACTCTGAAATGTAGGGTAGTTAATGGTTCTGGATTTATTGCAAACACTGTAAGTTAAATTTAGAGTTCTGTGGTACTGTAGAGAAATGCATATAGAAGAGAATTTTTCATGTAACTTAATTTTATTCCTATGAGGGCTTAAAAGTTTAAAAGTTTCAAATTAATTTTTGTGGATGTGCCAATCACATCAGCACAAAAGGAAGTTTCTAAAATGCATCACACACCTCCCTGACTTACCAACCAGATGATAGGACACAAAAATGTAAATATTTTTTTGATGATTCAGGGTCATGGTGCAGTAGACTATAAACTCCAATACTTATCTAATAATTATGTGACCCTGGGTAAGTTCTTCAGTTTACCTGAACCACAAAATTTAAAATTTGGTGTGGTACTAGTATTTGACTTGGTAACTCAAACATTTTGAGAATTAACTATAATAATGAACATAGAAGTCTCTGATGAGCAGTCAAGTACATAAATTTGGGGTATTGTGATAATTATCATATTATAAATGTCATTTGTTTTATCAGGCTACAATGTGATGATACCCCCAGAGATAATTGAGATGATTAGGACTATTTGGCTTTATGGTTATTTCAAAAGTTATGAGACTTTTGAGTTCTTGTGTCTGCTTGATAACAGGTATCTTTTGGTGCATGCACCATCTGTGTGCGTGTGTGTCTGTGTGTATGTGTGTGTGTTGGGGTCTCTTCTTTCAATATCAGATTGTAGGCTGTTACTTTTTGCATTGTGAATAATTTCTAATTTGTTTCTCTTTTAATTTATAAATTATGAAAATAGATAATCACAGCCTCTGGACCATAAGTAAAATATAAACATATATGTCTGGGCGAGTTGCTGAGAGATTCTGGGTAATATTGATGATCTTTAGTTCATGGACTTCTGGCTGCACAGACACTTTATTTTCCCCTACTTGGCTATGTTCTAGCATAAATGAAGCTGTCAGATCAATAATCTCTAAAGAAGTGAGATTGCTAGATTATTTTAATTACGAAATACCAAAAAAGATGATTTAGTCTTATAAGAAAGTGGTTTTTAAAATTCTTTAGCAAGCTCTTTAATGTAAAAATAAACTGATATGCGATGTTTTTTTTTTTTTTTCCCAGTGTGAACTCCTAGGAAATTTAAAATATTTTTTCTCTTGTACTCATAGTTTTTTGTTCTTCCTCTTTATTACTGTGTGTTAAAGATTTGGTACAAGAGAGACACTTGCAAGATGAGACCTCTCATTTAAGAGTACTTTATCAGTACATTTCTACTATCAAAGAATGTTTTTATGTACTTTACTGGACTTTGTTTTCTATAGTATATATATTTTAGGCATCAGAATTTCAGGCATTTTTCAGTGTGCATTAATGTATATAATGTATTAAGTATAAATATGAAGTGATAAAAGTATGCTCATCAAACTTATAGATTCTACAAATCTGGGAGGAACTTTGAATAAAATGCATGAAAGAAACAAAACTCAAAAGGTTTTGACAAACCAAAAATATGAACTTAAAACTAGCCCATCAAATAAAATTTAATAGATCTTATTGTTAAGTCCAGAGATAGTGACCAAAACTCCTAGCTGCACAAATAATTACTGAAGGAAATTCAAATAGCAGATACATGAATTTAAAAAAAAAAAATAAGTGTATGAGTTTTAAGAAAGTACACTGGGCTCAGCGTGATGAATCATGCCAAAAATTTGATAGTGCTGTCTCAATCAGCATTACTAGAATTACAGTATGTAGCATTCAAAGGGTGGTAGTCCCATTGAACTCCCTGCTCAATAGAATGCATCTGAATTACGGTGTTGAGTTGAGAATCACCACACTTTAAGAGGGACTAAAAAACATTGGGATATTCTCAGAGGAGAACAGTTGACATGATAACAGACACATAATTCCATCATAAGAGGAATGGTTGAAGGAACTGGTAATATCAATCCCGGAGAAAATAGATGAAGGAAGACATGATGGTTGTCATGTGGAGGAGAGATTGGGTTTATTCTATGTAGTTGCATAGGGATTGAATGAAGACCAGTGACAAGAAGTTACAAGGAACCAGATTATCATTTAAAACAATATTAACTGTCTAATAGTTGTACCTGTCCATGTATGGACTAATCTTCTTTGGAAGATAATAAATTGTCCTTGGAGGTATGTGGCAATCTTAATTGCCATTTTAATAGGGCTAGGGGACAAAAGGGTCTTTTTCTAATGCCAAAGCTCTATGAATATTTATGAATAATGTGCTTATATAATATTTCATAGTTCATCATATGTATTTTTTATAACCATAACCAAGAACTACATAGTATCATGATTATTTTTCTACAAGTTTTCTTTTTATTTTGCAAGGTGACAGTAGAACCCAGGGATTCTTAACTTTTTTTTTTTTTTTTGACCATGGATTTTCTTGTTAGTCAGTGAAGCCTACAGGTTATTTCTTAGTTTAAATGCACAAAGTAAAATCCATGGAATTACAGAGAAAATGAATTATATTAAAATATTAAATGATTCCAAAATTTTATGATATGGTAGAAAATGCTTCTTAACTAATGCATTAAACAACAAGATCTAATGAAGGGACTCAAAATATCAAAATTTTAATGTAGTGAAAAACATAAAAGTTATTTTAAGATATCACTAACCAGTACAATATGCCAGAAAAATATACTGTAATTCTATTGGTTACAGTATCACAAATACTATGAATATTTTATGGTTTTTGCCTGCATACGCAGTTTAAAGAAGTGCAAATTTTCAATTAGAGGTTTGCGAAAAGAATTTTTCCATCCAGGTTCACCATCCAAGGCCCCTTGAATCCTGTAGATGGACTCTTGGGGTCTCTGGACCCTAGGTCTAGAGTCCCTATGCTACTTAATATCGGGCACCCATAATGAGTAAAACAACAGTCTCTAACTTTAAAAAGTTCATATTCTTGTAAGAGGTATAGGATATATACAAAATGAACTCTAATTCAGTGTCTAATACAGGAGTTTACAGGACACATTGCACTGGCCTAGGAAGCCATGGGAAGTTTCTAAAGGGAAATGGGTCTTAGCTGGTCTTGGAGAACGAAGGATTTAGATAGGCAGAAATGGAGGGGAGGGACATTTCAGATAGAAGGAACAGGCAGAGACCTTTAAAATAGCCAACAGTTCAGGTTCTAATTTAAAGTATGTGAAGATGCATATGGGATATAAGACTGAAAAGGTAGGTTGTGTTCAGATCACTGAGGCCCTTTAATTCTTGGCTTAGGAGTTTGCACTTTAAAATGAAGGTCACGGAAGAACCACTGACAATTTCTTAGCGCAACATGGTGATGGATTTAGAGCTATCCTTCAGGAAGTCTATCTGGCGGCCTGTGTAGGATGTGTAGGAGCACGAGAGACACGGAGAAAATTGTTTCAGGCTAGAGATAATGAGGGCCTGAAACTAAGGCAGCAGAAATGAGAAAGGAGGAATGGGTGAATATGGAAAAGATATTAGGAGATAGAATTGTTAGGAGTTGACATTTAAGTGAGGCGACCAGGGGAGAGGAATGGTTCAAATGTTGCTCAGAGTTTTTAAACTCTGGGTGAGTAGGAAGGTTGTAATGCAATTAATAAAAAAATAGTAGAGGAACATGTTTTGGAGATGGGAGCCATGAATATTTCTATTTTCTACTTTGAGTTTGATTCCTAATTTTAATTACCTGCTTGGAGCAATGCTACAGAACAAGATAATGGTATCTCTGACTCTATAAAACTATATTTCAGGTCTACGGAGGTATAATAGCTTCACCAATATTTACTTGGCTTTGACCATTTAAAGCCCCAGGTCTCTCTCCTCAGGTGGGGCAGCTCTTATCCCAGGGGACATATAAGAGCTTTCAAATGCATCACTTGCCTCACTCTTACCTGTTTCCTGGTGTGAAGGCCATACTTCATGAATGACAAGCCTGTGTGATTGACATAATAAATGACTTTTCCTGAGTCATTCTTGTCCTGGAGAATGTTTGACTCTATCAGACTAAATACCTTCCCCCTCACTTCCCCTCATATACAGGAACTGATCTATAAAAAGTTTATTTATTATGGTCTATTTTAAAAACAATATCTACATGACAAAACATTAGGGATGTTATTCTCTTAAAGGCAGATCCTTTCATCAGCCAAATAATTGTCCAGTGTTTTATCTGCCATTCCTCAAGAAATGTCTTCTTCAGAACGGTGATTTGACTGGATTGCTGAGACACTGATGAAC